GCGTGCCTGGCGCTCCCCCCGCCAAGCGCACTCTCCCCGCAAGCGCCCGTGCGCCATGTGCCCGGGGCCAGGCCAGCCCCGAGCACCTGGCAGGCACATTGAAATGCCCCCACGGGCGCCATGGCGCCCGCAGGCACCGTGTTGGGGACCACGGCCCTAGGCAAACGCTTATCTTCCCTTGCTTCCTGAATCCTTTTAGTGGTTAGAGAGGAAAGAAGCACACAGATGTCAAGAGGAAGACACCTCTGTGTAAGCCTACAGACACCAACACAGAGGCCTAAGGAACTTTTACTTTGAAAACTTAAGAGCTTACATGGTTTGACATTAATTTTGTGGGGTAAAAACAAACTTGGGCACCATATCTTTCATGTATCTGGACCTATGTGACCATAAACTAGGTTCTAAATGCCAGGACCAGCCCTGCCATCAGGTGAACTGAGGCAGTCACTTCAGGTGCCAGACTGTGCTGGGGGAAAGGGGGGGGGGGGCGGCCTACACCACTAGGACCCAGAGGCTATGTCTATACTCATAGCTTCTTGCATGAGAAATATGCCAGTAAGGCTAAGCATGGAATATCATGGAGCCTCATTTGTATACCTAATGAGCTGCCATTTTTGCAGAAGAGGCTCTTGCACCAGAAGGAGCTGTCTACACTGCCCCTTCTTGCACAAGAAAAACCATCTTGCACAATGCCATTGCACCATTTTCAGGAATAACAGCATTGTGCAAGAGGGTTTTTCTTGTGCAAGAAGGGGTAGTGTAGACAGCTCCTTCTGGCACAAGAGCCTCTTCTGCAAAACGTCAGCTCATTAGGTATGCAAATAAGGCTCAGGAATATTCCATGCAGCCTCATTTGCTTATTTCTCACACAAGAAGCTGCAAGTGTAGACATAGCCAGAGCATAGAAAACTGTGTCTGCTGCTGGTGCATATGTATTCTCTCTGCTCTAGATGCACAGAGACGGTAGAGACGGTATTCTCCTCCTCCTTGTTGTTGTGGCAAGAGCTGGAGTGCAAGGGGGATGTGGGGCATCATTTGAGCTCCCCATCTAAGGTGCCAAAATGTTCTGGGCCAGCCCTGCTAAATACCTTAAAGTCATCATCAGCAGAAGAATGTAGAGTCCTGCTAACTCTTCATGCCCTTAAGATGTCATCTGCTCCTCCCTAGTTGCTGCCTGCCCATAATACTGCCAATTAGTGATTCCATCACTCCCTCTTGCTGTTTTAATTCTGCCTTTACTTAACCTCTTCTCCCTTATCCCCATTCTCCCTTCCATTGTTCACTTTCACTCTTTTCCATTATGTCCTCAACCTGAGGCTCTGCTGTTCTCAGCTAGGGAAAGGGGAAGAAAGAATAGCTTTTGGCTACCTTTGCTGCTCTAAGTCTTTGGAACCATCCTGGCAGCACCTGTAAACTACCCTCTATCCCACTTCAGGGACGTACTTGGACCTCTACTCAAGATTTCCTGTGTCTTTTTAGTTAACTGAATTGGAAATTATTAATGCTTGTAATGGAGGTATGCCTACCTACAGCAGCAGCAGCAGGTGCCATTGGCTGGTAGAAGAGGCACTTAAAGGAAAGCTCTCTGGCCACATCATTACTGGAATTGAGCAACAAGCCCTCAGATGACACAACATTTGTTCTGTTCAATATTGATATGGATTAGAAATAGATCTTGGGAGATTTGTGAAGAAAGAGGTCCTTTCTTTACTCCTTTCAAGGTGACGTTATAGATTATATAACTGAAAACAAGGATAGAAAAATATTATTCATTATAAAGGCTAATTAATTGGCATGTTTGTCCAGGGGAATTCAGACATAGGGATTAATATATTGCAATGTCTGAAGCGACTCAAACATTCTCTGTAAGATATTAGAATGCTAATAGGGGTGCTTTGGAGGGAAGAATAAAAACCACAGCATGGAGAGATCTATCTATGAATGGGGCAAAATTGGCATCTCTTATTTTGGAAGACTTTATAACCATAAAGCAATGTATTCGTAGGAATCCAATACCTCTTAAGGAAAATATTAGCTGCAAACGTGTTGAGGAGCAAGGCAATTTTCTAATGTCTTCCCTTCACATGAATTTGGATAGCTGACTTTACCACTTTATAGACTGACCAGCTGACTTTTAGGGTGGGGCATTTGTGACTAAAATACACAAGGTTTTCTGTACTATTTTCCTTCTTACAACTCAACATTGCTTGAAAGACTCAATGTAACTGAAGTGATGGTTACATGGATTAGAACAGATGTAGAATGCAGGAACTAAAGATACCCTAATAAGTATAGTAGAATACTTTGTCTCTAGTCTAGTTGAAGTAAAGAAGCTTTGGAGGAAATGAATCACTCTGGGCTGCAAAAATGGAGACTTGTCAGTGACACTCATAGGACCTGAAGGGCCACACACTGCTAAGTGATAACAAGCTACACAGGATCTAAGTCTGCTCCTACTGCAACAAACATTTCAACATTAAGTGCTAGCCAGCTCAAGTGACCAACAAAACAGAGGTAAGGTAAACTTTAATTTTAGATTTATAATGTTTAAACAAGTGGTTACAACCTTAACTTGCCTACTGTAGACCTTTACTTAGTGGTAGCATAAGAGTCACTGTACACTGCAGAAGAAATTTTATCTTGCAATTAGTGTTATTCTGGACTTTGAAGGTAGTGCTTAGTAAATAGTTTCACTATTAAAGGACAGGCTGCATTTTTACCATACCTGAACTTCCTTTCTTAAGATGATACATAATGTTCAAGTTCAATTTCTATCTAGAATCTGTGTAAGATTAGTGATCAAGAAGCAGATTACTTGTATTGCTAAAGACTACTGTCTCCTCTAAGCACCTTTGGGTTTACAAACTAAATGGGTACTAACCTCTGTAGTACTGTTCAAAATGGAATTTAAGAAGAATGCATTTCTCTGGCGGTGATTTTGAATACAACAGTCCATTCTCTGTTCAACTGTTGCTGCTCTGGACTCAACTCTTTAATTTCCTCTGAAAGGCTGAAGTCGTGGACAAGATGTTTAGCAGGAGATATTCGGCTAAAATCTCCTCCCTCCTTCCATCCCGCCTTTCTGTTAAGCTTTCATTTCAGCTCAGCCACCTCCCATTTTTTTTTCCAGGACTTTACTCCAAGCACCCCAATCCCCTCCCCCTTGTATACGCATTCACCGCGCTCATTTATTATAGCCTGTCTGGTGGCAGGGCCTGCCCACCCCCAGACCGCTGAGTCAGTTTCCTAAATTCACGTTCAGGGAAGCTCGACAGCACCTTGCCGTGCACACAGATTAGTGGCGCCTTCCCCTCCCGGATCTTCCCCCTGCAGCCTCCTTCGCTCTGTCCCAGGGAGCTCCCGCAGCCGCTCTGCGCGAGCCGAGGAAGGCGTTTGAAGTCCCCGCGGAGCAGCGGCACTCACTGCCCGCGGGCCACCGGACACGGCGGGGGGAGGGTGGCTGCTTGTGTGGGGCGCCGGGCACAGCCCCGCCAGCCGGCTCCTCGCCCTGCAGCTCGCTTTCCAACCGGGGAGACGAGGCTGCCCGGCCGGGGGCTCAGCCCCCTCCCGAGGCTGGGCGTGGGGCCTGCGGCCGCGTCCCCCCCCCTTCCCGGTGGATCAGTTACACGCAGTTGGCACAGGTGTGGGGCGCCCTTCAGACTCGCTCTGGCGACAAGGGCCAGACGCAGCGAGCAGCAGGGAGACATGCAGCCATCTTGAGCGCAGGCGGCCAAAGAGCCGCCCGCCCCCGCCCGCCCGCGCACCCCTCGTCTCGCCCCGCGGCACGAACCAGCCTCATCGCCCTGCCCTCCCCCCGTCCAGCCGCCGTCACCCCCACCACCTTCAGCCCCCGCTGCTCCTGCAGCTTCGCGTCCGGGCCGCCGCCGCCCGACTCCCAACTAAACCTTCGCAGCCATTTGCCCGGGCTTTTATAGGCGGCTGGCGGCCAATCACCAGCCAGCGGAATCCCTCTCCGGCCGGTGATGTGAGCCGGCTTCCGTGCGCCTGCGCTGTGAGAGGGCAGCGTGTGTGGGGGGGCGGGAGGGAGGAGTGGAAGGGGGAGGAGGGAGCAGCTCACAGGAACCCTCCAAAAAAAAGATGGCGGCGGGCTCGGATCTGCTGGATGAGGTTTTCCTGAACACGGAGGTGGATGAGAAGGTGGTGAGCGACCTGGTGGGCTCCCTCGAGTCCCAGCTGGCGGCCTCCGGCCATCACCACCAGCACCACAAGGCGCAGGAGCCCCTCAGGACCGCTGGGGGGCTGCTGGGGAACCATGTTGTGAGCAGCAGTAGCAGCAGCAGCAGCCCTAGCCCTAGCCCTGGAGGAGTAGTAGTAGGAGGCAATGCTAATGTCCAAACAGAGAGCAGCAGCAGCAGCAAGATGGGACTCAGTGCCCCAGAGATCACAAAAGCAGGTAACCTGGGCCGGGGTGGGGGGCTCTCTGGGAAAGGGGCCTCCCCTCCCCCCACTCCCAAGCTCTGACTGCCTCCCTCCCTTACTGCTTTCCCCCCTTTTCCCTCTCTCCTCCTCCTTGTTGTTGTGGCAAGAGCTGGAGTGCAAGGGGCGGTATAAATCATATTGGGGAGATACCCCCCCATACACCAGGCCCTTTAGTATATGTCTGACTGTGCCCCTCTTCCTCCTCGTTCCTGGGGTGTAGAGGAGGTGTTTCTTGCTATATAGGGGTACTGCACCCCCTTAAGAGAGCCATAAACAAGACACTGATGGGTTATCAGTCCCTTTTCTTTTTCTCCTGTTGTTGCTGGAGGGTAAACGGGTGCTATTAATCAGAGGAGTCAAGGAGGGGAACTAATGGGGGCAAACTACCCCTCTGATAATGATTTTTCCCTCAGTTTGTCTGAATATTCCTCTGCCTTCCCTGTTGCTGGTGTATGTTGATTGGTTTTATTGGGGGGGGATTCCCAATTAATAGGGCCTTCCAATTTCTGTTTGGGTGCTCCTTCCCTTCCCCCTTCTCTGTTGCTGAAGTGCAAAGGGGTGTTATTAATCATGACACCCATTTCCTGTATAGGAGGAAGTGAGGAGGGATTTCAAGGGGAAGAAGCCCCTAAAATGCCTCCCCCCTCACATCTGTCTGGGTATTCCCCATAACCCCTCTTGTATTAGGAGTTTGGAGGGGGTATTCAACACATTTCATTCCTCGTTCTCCCTCAAGGGGGTGTCATGGCAACATAAGGTCCTTGGATGGGGGGGACGGGACGACTGAGGGCACAATCCCTATCCTCCTCAGATGGGCTTCTCCATATGTTACCTGTGAATGTTTTCTGCTTGATGGAGGAGCTTTGTTTTAAGAGGATGATGTTAATCACAATATTAAGTCTCACTTTATGAGAGTGGGTGGGAGGTTGTTTTTAGGAAAGAGAAAAATATTCTTATCTGCCCAGTATCTATCTGTTTTATGTCCCCCCTACTATTTTCTGCTTCTTGTTGCTGAAATGTAAGAGGATGCTTATATTAATAATAGCAGATCTGTAATGAGGATTTTGCAGGAGGGTCCTCTTAGCTATTGAGACACACACATTATAAGGGTTATCTGTGACAGCTCCCTTCTCATGTCTCTCTCCTTAATTCAGGACCTGGACTGCCAAGTCTGGTGTTAATTGTGATACCAGACCTCATTAAAATGGGATGAGGAGGTCTTAGAGTAGGAGGGCACATTGTAGTGTCCTCAGTGCCTGAGTCTGTTTTCTCCCCATATTTGTCTTTGATTGTGGGAGCTTGAGGAGCAGAATTACAACAGCACAGGCCCTGGTGTGAACAAAGTCCTCTTTTGGCAACTTTTTCTTTGTCACACTGACAGTTTTCATCCCCTATTTTTTACATTATTGTACTAGTTTAACTGCATGGAACTACTAGGTTCCTCTACAGGACATGAAAGAATTGGGGGGTAAAGTGTGCAAGGTGTAGAGGGCACAGGGAAGACTTTTTTTCCCCTCCCCCCGCATCTTTTAAAACATTTTTTCTCTAAATTCATTAACTGGAATGTAAAGGAAGTTGTTAAATGTAATGTCAGGCCCTGAAATGTGGGAGAGAAGAAAGTTTAGGATAAAGATGTATCCCAGCTCTTTTATTGTCCAGATCTGTCCTGTTGTATGTCTGTCTGTCCTCTTTTTCTTGTTATAGTTGGTTCAAGGGGTGGCTATATCTAATATCACTGCTGCCAGGTGTGAATATGGGGCATAGAAGGGCTTCATGGTAACCTCTCTACCCAGAAAAAGATAATTTGTATTTTCAGCCCATTTTTTTTTCTTGTCTCATTCCAGACAGTATGGAGGACGTGGGGGCGAGGGGGTAAAGAAGAATTGGGAGGGTGGAGAAACACACTCCCTCTACCTTTTGTTTTCACCTCCTGCACATTCTCTCCATTGAACCTTCTTCTTGTTGTTTCAGGGGCTGGAGGAGTGCAAGGGGGTGTTATTAATCATAACACCAGGTCCCAGAGTTCAGCTCTGGATGGAGCCACTACAACCAGCACCACCACTGCTGCAGCAGCAGGAGGAGGCGGATCTGAAGCTGCTGCTGCTCCAGGGACCCTCAGTCAGGGCAAATCTGTGGTTATCAGTACAATGGCAACTGCCTTATCCACCAGGAATGGCAAAATTGGGACCACAACGGTGCAGACTTTGAATGGGAGTAATGTGGTGATGAACTCTCACCATTCGGGAAGTACTTCTTTCTCTGGGACTCCTGCAACTGCTAATCCTGCTGCTGCACCTACTGTTGCCCCTCTAGTTAACAATGGACCTGGATCTGTGGGGAAAGGAAATACAGTTAATGCTGTTTTGCCTTCAGCTTCTAACACTGTCATCCAGACTTCTTTCCTCAGCACCGCTGTGTCCTCCACCTCATCCCCATCCCCCACAGTAATCTCTTCACAGCCGTCACCAAGCATTGTAGGTGCGGGGCCTACTGTAGCACTGGTGAGACCACCAATTCACACAGCAGGACCCACGGTTGCTGCAGCTGCTGCAGCCACTCAGAATGGGAGCAATACTGTGATCAATTCAGCCATCAGTGTGGGTGTAGGGAGTTTTCCTGCTGTTGCTGCAGTCACTGTGGGCTCTGGAGTTTCCCTCCAAACACCACTTGTGAACAGTCAACCTGGTTCCAGTGTGCCAGCAGCACCCACTACACAGGTCATCAAATCAGAGTCTCCTAAAACTATAGTGCATGCAGTATCCCAGCAGCAGACACTAGTTGCTAGTGGCCAGCCCAGTACTACAGGGGGTAACATGATAATTGGGCAAACTATGCAAGCTGGGCTCTCCAATGTGGCTCCCAATCCTGGAGGGATACCTCCAGCAGCTCCTGGTACCCCTACAGGAATGGCTAAGGGCACTACCAGTACAGTGGCACAAAGTTTGCCAAGGACTCCAACAGCAACTACAAGTGGTATCAGAGCAACTTTGACTCCTACAGTTTTAGCACCACGTCTGCCTCAGGCACCTCAGAATCCAACTAATATTCAGAACTTTCAATTACCACCAGGTAAGTAAATACTAGAGATTTTTATTTTGTGACTGTATGTGTTGTTGAGAGGACGATGAATGATTCATATATCTAGATTTGTAAATCATGGGGAAGCTCTTGTTCTCAGATATCACTAGGTTTTGAACAGTGGCATGGAATGTCACGATTTTTATGCTGTTTCAGGTGACAAGGGCATGTTGACACAGAACTATTTTAGAAACCTTACTGTTGTTTAGATCTTCCTTTTTACTAAATTGCAAGTGTGAACAAAGTTGCGAACCAACAAAATGTGATATAAAGCACCTTGCTGTTTTATTTTTATATAATACATTTTGTCTTTAAAGCAGTTTTCTCAGTAATTCATATAATCTAGCATGCTGCTCTTTTCCCTGTCCCTGCGTGCCCTCAGTATCCCACAAAGAGCATTGCTTGATATTGGAGCAGCAGGTACAGCATAAGGAAAGAAGCTGCTTTCTTTTACCATAAATACATTAAAATAACATGAAATCAGAGTTATGCTCTCTGTTTTGGAGCTCACGATGATGATCTTTTATCACTGGACCTTCAGTACAAAAGCAATCTTATTCTGTCCTTACCTCACCCTGTTGTGTATATGGTTGCAGCTCCTGTAGTAGCTAACATGGAACCAAGCCCTACATCATTATGGAGTGAGTTAAAGGCCAAAAGAAAAAAAAAATCTTTCTATTCAGAGAACTGGTCTATGCTCTGTCAAATATCCTTGATTTTTTTTTTGTCGTTTTTGCTAGATGATATTACTATACAAAGAACAGCCAATTAAATTTTATTACTACCTAATGAAATCAATGGTGTGCATATGCAATTCATTTCAATAGGTCTTAAAGTAGTAAAAATGAGATCTGTTGAAACTACTACCCTGCCTTAGATTGATGCACTTCTCATATAAGATATCAGCAACCATATTATCTTACTGTACACTATATTTCTGTATAATACTCTATTTATATAGTATGTGACACTGCTTGGTTCAGTGAAGTCTGTCAGACATTCTGTATATTTAAATCACAATTGGGATATAACATCCCACATTTTTATTGCATAGAAAGATATTGCCTGGCAAGAATAATGCCTATGTTGATGTTTCAAAATTAGTTTTATGTTTCTCAAAGTCTTAATCTTGAAATCCCTGTTTGTTTGGGTTTTTTAAATACGGCGTCTGTTTTGTTTTTAAATTGAAAATGCATCCTACTTTTCAAGATTTTAAGATGTTATCTCTTGCTGCAATATTAATCAAATTGCCCTTATGGGTTACAGGTGATGTTAGTAAAAATTTAGATATCTAGCTCCATAGTGGGGTATGGCAATACTGCATAATATAACTAGTTGTGGAAGGTCCCTATTTTGACATGATCAGCAGTTTCTAATAAAAATGTCAGTGGTTTAAAAGCATTTTATCAACTTACTAAAATGTGTCCCATTTACCAACAAGGGCCACAATCTTTATGGCTTTAGTAAGCATAAACTATTCCTCTGCATGGTCCAAGTGAAATCAAAGTAGGGCTTTGTAGGCTCTAACTTTTTAATTTTTAGGATTAAGTCCTTTGAAGTTAACTTGGCATAAAAGATGTAAAACTTTGTTCTGTCACTCTATAGAGCATGCATTTTAAAATAGAAAACTTGTACATTTGCACTAGAAACTTAGCAGTTGTAAATTGGTTTTGATTTTGATATTTTTTTAAATGGTTGCGATATTAGACTGTATTGGGAGTGAAGCAATGATTTTTAGGTGACACATTTTCAACAGAGCTCAGCTCCCACTTAAGCACTTAAATTAAATGGCCAAATTTTCAGTAGAGGTTAGACTTCAGCAGCTTCTATTGAGGACAGTGAGAGCTGCTGGATGGAGCTGTTCTGAAAATCTGGTCTCAGTTATAGGTGCTGAGTACTTCAGAAAATCTAGCCCTAGATATATAGGATTCTTCCTCAATAAACACTTACAAATGCCATTAACTTAAATGGTGTTTACGTATGTTTGAGGGTAGAATTGATTCCTATACAAAAACATAATTGAATTTCAAAGTACAACATAGTTGATCAGATTTTCAAAGGAAGTTTTACCCATCTCTGAAGTTGCACCTGTAAAGTTTGTACATCCAAATGTGTGTGCAGAAAACCTGAAATTAACCTAGGCAAACAATATTAGCACATAAAAATGGGAGAGCTGTATGCTATACAGTTTGCTCATGCAAATCCAAGGTGCTTATTCATGAAATAACTAGAAAACAAAAGATGCATGCTCAAAAAAATAGTCTGCACAGAGTAACAACAATTTAACATTCACTTCTGCAAATTTGCCTACTTTGTAGCAGAGTGGCTCTCAACCTTACCAGAATACTGTTCTCTATGCCTTTCAGGAGTCTAATTTGTCTTGTGTATGCCCAAGCTTCACCTCAGTTAAAAACTACTTCCTTACAAAGTCAGACACAAAAAAAAAGACAAGAGTGTCACATCATACTATTACTGAAAAATTGCTTGCTTTCTAATTGATTTTATAATTATACAGTAAAATAGAATATAAATATTGTACTTACATTTCAATGCGTGCTAGATAGAGCAGTATAAATAAGTTATATGAAATTTTTACTCATGTCAGTAGTGCTTTTATATAGGCTATTGTAAAACTAGGCAAATAGCAAGATGAGTTGCTGTACCCCCTGGAAGATGTCTGCATACTCCCTGAAGTGTGCGTACTCCCGGTTGAGAGCCACTGATGTAGCATATGTTCTGTATTTTCCAAAGAAAAATAAACTAGTTGTTTTATTTTCAGTCCTTACTACCAAATGTCCAATTACTGTTCCACATAAATGACACTAAATATAAAATGTGAATATTTTTATTAATCTGGGCCTTCACAAAAAGATTATTTTTAAAAGTGCTTGAAGTGGTCTGCCTTTACCTTTTTAAAAAACAGTTTAGTTCATTTACATTAGGGATGTTACTGGCCAGTTGGCTAACTTAACCAAGAAGCAGTCGCTTATCAGCTGACAGTCCTGGTTAACTGCAACACTCCTTTCCCCCCACTGTGTGCTTGGCATTTTAAACTTGCACGGGCAGGGTGGCTTAGTCCCAACCCACCGGTCCGCATGTTAAATGAAAAGCACACAGGAGAGCCACCTGCCACCCTGTGCTGCTTGACAGAGAGGCAGCAGCGTGGGGCGGCAGGGGGGAGCCAGTCCATGCAGGGAGCTGGTTTAAAAGCTGCATGCTACCCCACGCTGCTGCCTTTCTATCAGAGGCAACGGTGTAGGGCGGCAACAGCCCCTGTCCACAACAGGTCTGCGCTCGCCACAGACAGAGTCTGTTCTCCATGGGATGCCGTACCAACCTCTGTCCTCAGAGAGATTGGGCTCCCTGCAAATAGGGACTGCTACCCACCTTGTGCTGCTTCCTCTGTATCAGAGGATAGCAGGCAGGAGCTGGTCTGTGAAGGGAACCAGTTTAAAAGAATGAGTGTGCTTTTAAGCCAGCTCCCACCAGCACTGACTTCTGCCCCCTTGCCTCTGATAGAGCAGAGCTGGCTCCCCACATGTATCAGCTCCCACCTTCCAGCCCTTACCCTCCGTGCTGCTGCTTCTGATGGGGGAGAGGCGGGCAGGCGGATCTGGTGCTTGTGGGGAGCCAGCTCTTCTTCCCCCTCATTCCCTGATAGAGGCATGGGGGCAGGGGAAGGGGGAGGGGGAATGCATGGAGTAGACAGGATTAACAGATAAGCTCAGGATTCATTTTTATGTTTTTCTAAATTCTTGGGAGGGTGGGAGAAGTGTGTCTGTGTATGTCAGCAGTATATCTGCACTTGGTCTTTTCTTCAGAAGCCCAAATTTGGAACCTGTAGCTTGAACATTTGGAGGAGTGCTATACTATTCCAAAAATTGCCTAAAAGACCATCTTTTTGGCTTAAACAGAGATGTTGAAAATACTCTTGAATTGACTTTAGTAAGAAGGATCCTGTCAAATATGTAACCGGTTTATTTAAAGATGACTTATTTTGTTTCATAGTGCATTTTATGAAATTATATTAGACTTTTAACTACTGGTTGAATCTCTGTAGTCCTGTACCCTCAGGACCTGCCCGGTGCCGAACCAGAGAATTTGCAGAAGCACGGGAGGTCAATATTATGTAGCAGCATTACCAACACTTGCACTGCTTATTGGGCTCTTAGAAGACATTTAGGGTACATTGGCGCTAAATAACAGCACAGAACATCGAGAGCTTGGAGTGGAGGCTGTAAACAAACTTTATGGGACCATGGGAATCTTGGCCACACTCATGATAAGTGGACATCTGGCTAACTAAAATCATGCTGGACCACAAATAATGCTGGACCAGAAAGGGCCAGACTAGAGAGGTTCAACCTGTACTTGCATTGTTCTGAAACAGTGTGAGGAAATCTTTTATACACTAATTTGGGAATAGCTGGGACAGTTGATATTGAAACATCACAGTTGGCAGTTTTAGATACACAGAAAAGTATCTTAGTTGCTCATGTAACCGATGTAACAGAAGTTGGGAAGTAGACCAGAACTATTGCAGCATACCTGAGAGTGTGAATAAGGACCAGAAGTCATAATTGGCATGTGCTGCAAATGTTTTTAATGACTTAGGCACTTGAATAAATTTAATTTTCTCCCCCCAAAAAAGTTAGTTTTTAGACGAGCAAAGTAATGGTTTCATTTGCAGTGGTATACAACATTTTTTTTTCAAAACTGGTCACAACTGAAATCTACAATCTACTTTAACAGTATTATCTTCCTTGAGAATTTATCCAAAACCAGTTTCTCTGATTTCAGGTATATCATGCTGATATTCTGTACTGCTATTTTCTTACAAAAAGTCATTACAATTAAATGCCTTAGCTTACATCTACGCTATGAGGTAGAGGTGTGATTCCCAGCTCATACACATGTACTTGGAGTAGCTCAATGACCTCTAACGCTGGTGTATAAAGTAAGGTGTAGCTGTGGTATCATGAGCAGTACCA